TGGCTAGGGCACTTCCAGATATATTTACAATGAAACAGAAGCTGAAATACAATTTAATGTTTGAGAGGGAACCAGCCTAATCTCGCTCGCTGATAAGGGTAATAATAATCGGTGGCGAGAGGCCACTGGGCTGCCTGCTACCTGGATTGCGGAAGAGCATGAGGAAGTGGGCAACGCCTATTAAACGCCTCGATGCTTTCAAATGAGATTGGTATTGGGCCTGACTCGTCCTGTCCGAGGGAGACAGCCATAGTGGTGTCTGTTCGGCAAATGGCGGCGATGCCTTCGAGTGGGTTGTCGTTAAATAGCGCAAGGATGCGCACCTAGCTCAACAGTAGCAATTCGACCAGCCCAGCAGCAGGATCGTCAGGATGAGTGAATTTAGCATCGATTACATATTGAACCGCGCCGGCGACAGATACATCGGCACAAATGCCTCCGCCGGAGTCCTGCAACGACTCCGTGCCAGCATTGCGTATCATCCGTACGCCCATCCCGGACACAAGGAGCAACTCGCATCGCCCCCGGCTGCAGTGGCCCTTGAGGAGGGACATCTACCCGTGTACGACTGGCTGCAGTACACCCGCTACCACCCGCCCAAGCTGCCTCGTGCCCTGCGACAGAATGGACCCGCCAAACGCATGCCCGGACGCCTGCCACGGATCCCCTTCACTCCCGCCCAGCTCCAGGCCCTGGAGAGTGCGTACAATGAGTCCAACTATCTGAGCGCCGAGGATGCAAACAAGCTGGCAGAGTCCCTGGAGCTGACCAACACCCGCGTGAAGATCTGGTTCCAGAATCGACGCGCCCGAGAACGACGCGAAAAACGCGACAAGGATGAGAGCTGCGACTCCACATTCTCCTCAAATGCCTCCAGTCCAGAACCGGAAATGATTATCATTGTTTAAAGGGAGCGAACATATGTTGGGTGTACCTTGTGATGGGTTCATACTTGGAGACGAATTATTTATGAATTGAAACTCTTTGTTGTACAAATAAATCTAAGTATCATAGTTCCATTCAGACAATAATTGTTTGTCTATATATAATTTATAAATAAATTTATTTACATTGAACTTAATTTTTGGAGAGTTTCTTACTTGCGAGACGGAAATGATGCCAATTTCCTATATTTCTTTCATCAATTTATAGCTTATAAAATTGTAGCTTCCCGCAGTATCGGGAAGTGCCGGGCAGTACTACAAAACGTGAAATATGACATTCGCTACTTTCTATTACACATTCAACAGTCTGTAACTGAATCTGTGTGTGACGAACGTTTGAAATGGAAAAGTATTTCGTTCCCAAAAGTAAATTTATATTATTTATACGACATTTTATGCTCATCTATATAAAGAATATAATATTAACAGTAAAATAAAATGAATGAATGAATATTTCAATTACTATATATACCTGAGAGTTGCAACTTTAAATTATTGATATTCGACTTATTTCGATAACATGAGCTTAAGAGATACTACGGATTGAAATTTGTAGTGACATTTGTAGTATGCCCACGCCGCGTAGCAGAAAAGTTTTCTCTCAAGATGCATTTTCATGTCTGCCTGCAAATTAATCTCAAACTTTCATCTCTAAATTTTCATCTGCATAAAAAATGCAGTCTCTACTCTATGGACATGTGTGTTTCTCCCCACATGTGGAATCACCATCTCATATCAGTTTCACCTGATGATGCAAATCCAATTTGGATAAAGTAATTCAATATTTCAAGGCGGAAACTGGTTGACTTTGTTCATTTTGCTTCCCATAACATCAGCGCATCACATACGAATAATAGGATCAAACAGGACCGCCCCACATGCAGTTGCTGTCAGAATTGTGTGGATAAAAATCCAACCCATATGGGAAAATATTTCAAAATGTTGAATGAAAATGAGGAAAATTCGCGTGCCGCAAAAACAGCAAACTCCATCTCAGATGGAGTCGTGAATGGGAATGGGAACGGGAGGAGGGAGGGCAGGCTAAGCCGATTCCGTAATTTTTGCTGCCATGGTCAAGAATAATTTGTTTTTCCGCAACCTTTGTTTGCAAAACATGCAAAAATATCAGATTACAAAGCGGCAGTTCCTCCGCAGAAGAAGAGAGAACTGTTTTCCGTACGGCGAGTGGGGGGGAAAATGTTACAGGATGCGTTTTCGAAGTGTAGTTTTGCCACAAGGTCTGCCAAATGAGTTTACGCAAATCCCAAGAATGTCTGCACCTAATCCCCATCTAATCCGATCATATGAGTACGCAAGGGCCGCAGGATCTTGACCGAAGTGGACAACAGGAAGAGCGGATCGCATGCGCCATTTACTTATCGCAAATGAGCATCGAAAGGTGCATCTATGGAAAAGGGTTGGCCATTGCCCACCGAAATTGAGAATATCAAATGTCGCATACGATCAATCGCATGGCCACATGTCCACATATTGATCAGAGAGCAGGCTGCTTTCTTTTCTGGAAACTTTCCACTACAGCCCATAGACTTTGCCCGTCAGAGACGGAGCACTCGAAGGATTTGCTGGAACAATTTAAGCCACTCTCATTAGTTGCAGATAATTCGAGTAAATTTGTGAAATCGGCTTATGATTTGCATTCAATGGAGGAATGTTTATGTTACTAATCTAGTCCTGTTTGACAAACAATGCGGCAATATTTATTCTAATGGCGTAGAAAAACACAGCAAATGCACCCCCGACCTGTCCTTGTACCATTCTTAAGGCCGGACAAAGGCCAGGCGCAGGCGCATGCGTAGAATGGAAAAACTGGGTCAAGACGGGCGCGGGAAGGACTAAACGGCCCAGGATCAATGTAATTCCCATTTTTACGTATGAAGATTGAGGTAAGCGCGGTGCGCTGGGCTTAGCAGGGCGTCAGACAGACTGCCCTTTTTTGATCTTTTGTGTAATTTGTACCAGCCACCGAACATGCAACAAAAGCTTACCACAAGACATTGAGTGATGCATTTTTATTTAATTTTTTATTATTATATAATATATATTATTATTTATTATTTTGTATTTTATTTATTTTTGTCTCCATTCGTTTTTGCGTTAAATTCGGGACAGACTAATTTCCTACCTCGGCATTTAATTAATTAAATTGTTTAATTAAAAAGGCCCACTAAAAAGAAAGAAAAGGTCAACAAAGAAATTAAATGAATTTTCCACTCAAATTGTACGGTCACTCTATGAGTAACCACCATTTGGCAACATTTGGGAGACTCATCGCTACATTAAGAAATATTGCGCAGCATTTAGACAAGTTGCGCAACATTTGATAAATTTATGAATACTTTACATCTTATATTTTTCACCACATGAGTCTTATACACATTTGTTTCTGTGAACTTTTTGCCAGTTCCAGCTCAGTTCCGTTCGGGTATGTCAACAAACTATAAAAAAGTACCTTAAACCAGCTAATCTTGTAGTTACAATAATCATAACCAGAAGTGAGCAATTAGTCAACTGATTTCGTTTAGTTCCTTCTTTAGTGTCTCTTCTTTTGTTTCCGCGCGTGGCATAACAGAATTCGGCTCTGCAGTCGACCTCGACGACGTTATTACAATTGTGCGGTGAAAAGTGAGACTGCTCTTGTTTATTTTGGGCAAAATATATAATATTCTTGGGGGCAAGCCCCCTGCTCACTTGCTTCGCTCTGTTGCTGACCCGGCAAAACATTTGTGGCAGTCAACATTTGGGTTCGAATTCATATTACCGGTGATATTGCTTTCACTTGGCAAATCTTGTGAGTTCAAAAATGCTGCTTGATAATTTTCAGTTTCTTTCTCATCGAAAACTACAGCCCTTATACATAGATCGATGGCTGCCAGCGGATATTGTCATCGCCTATGCCTCAGAACCTCTCCACGTTAACGACAACAGTGAGGCGGGACATCGCCTATGTCATTGGGAATAAGTGAAGTTGACATCGATGTGACTTTGGCTGATACATGATACATCAGAGCCGAAGATCTCTGGGAGGTTAGTGCCGTAACCCACTTACCCCACCTTAAATTAAAATGACAATGGACACCAATAGAGATGACATTTTCAAAAAATCAAACTGCCAGCGCTGCCACTGCAGTGTCAGTGTTGTTAAACGCGGCCAGGAGTTGCCACACCACTGAATAAAGATTGCAAATTGAACCGGGTAATTGTTTAAAAATAAGTCGCTGAATGTTAATAGCAAACGGTTATTTAAAGAAATGATTTATTTCAACTTTCCATCAAAGTTTATCCAAACAGCTGATTGCTTCAAAAAGTGATTGGTGGTGTGCGCCTGCGTTGCTTTTTGCTTGGCGCCCAATAAAAATACTGGCCATTTCATTCAATTGCATAACAATACGCAAAATAACGGTATCGTTATCGTATGCGTACGCTTCTCAGTCAGATATTGACGTGCTTGTACCAAGCGTCGTGTGCGCGGAGGATACTCGACTCGCCCCCACAGTCCACAGAAGACGGAGCAACCACGCCACGCCACGCTCCCTCCGTCGTGCAGCAAAAAAGTCTCACTTATCAAAGATTCAGCAACAAATCGACATTTACGAACTCCCACAATCCAAATGGCTAAATAATTGATTGAGCTTGCCTGCCCCAGAGTAGCACGAGATGCCTCGCCTACGTCACAACAGCAGAATTAGCCAGAAAGTCTCTATTTCATAGCATCCCGAAAACGTGTTCACTCCTGCTCCTCCACCGTCACCTGCTTCACCTCCACCAATAATCGTGCTTCTTCCGCAACGCTTCCGTAGTAAATCCACGTTTTCGCTGGCCTGGTCAGGCAAATCCTTTTTTGGGGGCTAAGACAACGGGCAAAAGATTCGCATCTCATCGCATCGCATCGTAGAAACGTGTACACGTCCAATGGCAAAAGTGAGTAAAGTTTATCGATTTTTACTGGCCACGGCGCGCTGCTCTCTCTCTTCTCCTCTCTTCTCGTTTCCTTTCCTGTGGGAAGTCCCGGGGCCTAATCCAAAACTCGCGTGATTCACATGAAATATTCACACACACACACAGATAGTTCGAAATACTCTCACACACACACCCACACACACAACACTTGCAAAGAGAGCAAAAGACGCAGGCATTTACTTTTTGGGTCACGAGAGGCAAGCTGTATGTTGACATTGGTCCTGGTCTCGTTTTCCCACACAGGCAAAGCACGTGCTTTTTTTTTGTTATTTGGCACAAGTTTTATATACATACGTAACCATTTTCCGCTCGTCCCCCCATACTTATCTGTGCAACTTTTTTATTGCACTGCGCTCTAGTTAATAATTCATGACGTTCGTTGGCTTTCCCTTTCAGTCGGTGTTGGCGCCACTTTAGAGTATCAATTTGAAGCGACACCATCGCCAGAGCCACCCCCACCGCCATCCCAACACGTTTCACCGGAAACAGACATGGACACTGCTGCTGCTGCCGCCGCCGCCGTTGTTGTTGACCTTAGCTCCGAGGGCAGCAAATCAAAGCTCCTGAGCAGTCCCAACAGCACTGGGTCCAGCATCCCACATCCCAGCAGCACTACACTGAAGCCAAAGCCAGTGCCCAGCTACGCCCTAGTAGTGGCAGCCTCCGCAGCTGCTTGCAGTGATCAGGATCAGGTGGGCAGCAGCGTAGAATCCGTATCGGCCACGCCACCGCCCACGCCGGCTACCAACACTGGACGCATGGGAACGCAACGGTGTCCGGGCAACGATGGAATTGGAACGGGAACGGGAACGGGAACTGTGGTTGGGGCTGCTGCCGAGCCTGTCAATGCTGCTGATGCCCACCCAATGCCTTTGAACGGAGGCCTCCTGTGCAAGGAGGCAGTCGTAGTGGCGACCTCGGAGCACGGTCAATCTGGCCCAACATCAACGTCTTCCGCTAAAGCTTCCACAACGCCAATGTCTGCCTTGCTTATACCAGCTGCAACTGCAAATGCAACGGGAACCATATCCACAGAACAACCAGCAGCAGCCGCAGCAACGCCTGCCGGATCAGCGCCAGGAACACCAAAACCACCAGCAAAAGCCACCACAACGACCACAAGTACAAGCCATGCACCATCGGTGGCAACATCAGCGTCGTCATCGCTGAACAGCGTCTCCAATTCGCGTTCGCGTTCCAGCTCGAGTTCCGTGCCGAGCACGGATCCGCTGCTGCAGTGGCAGGATATGCCCCAATATTTGCAGTTCAATCCGTACGTGCTGCGTGGCTACCGTCCCCTGCAAACCTTCAAGGGCTGCCTGCTGAGCCTCTTCTACTGGCACAACGAGACCATCAACATACTGACACATGGTGAGTGCACAGAGAGCTAAAGCTACGCCATCGATACACACCCCCAACCCGGTACACCCACATGCCAAGTGTCACATCACACTTGTTTCTTTTGCTCATTTATCGATCCGAATCCGTCCGAATGCCATTGCCTCGCCTCGCCTCGCCTCTGTGGCTTTTGGAACAAACTCGTAACTCGTAGCAATCACGGTCAAAGCCAAGTGCAAGCGGCGGCGGGCCACATAAATAGATTAGTCCGCATTTCTAATGAACCTCGGTCTGGGTCTGGGACTGTCCTGGTGTTACGTTGAGGTTTGTGGTTTGCTTTCGTTTTGCATAAGAAAACCAAACAAAGAAGTATGAACATGCAGCTTTTGGCTGAAGACAGTTTAATGGCACAAAATATAGGATCTACCACACGATACTCCATATGTGCAGTTACTAGTAGAGCACACACTTTTGGCGTGGATTCATGGGAGAGTCGATGGGACAGTTGAACTCCTTGGAGAACTCATCAAAGTTTGACAGTGGGCCGATAACGCGAAACTTGCCGGGCACATGCTGGTCCGTGGATACCTGTATGGCCTTCACCTGCGGATGGGCATCGTTGCACCAGACCTGGGCATAGCTGATGAAGAACAGCTGCTTGCTGTTGTAGTCCAGTGTGGGTAGAGTCTCCTTGAGCAGCTCCTCGCCGCTGTTGGGCCGCGACTCCAGGGCATCGTACCATTTGCGATAGGCTGTGTAGGCCAGACGCACTCCCCCATTGTCTGCTATGTTCTCCGATTGCGAGACGGACCGCTTGAGGGGTATGCCGTCGTAGACAAAAGCACCGTACTGTTCCGTGAAGCATGTCTGGCGTTCCAGAAAGTTATTGGCGGACGTCTCGTCCCACCAGTCGTGGAACTGGCCACGAGCATCGAACTTACGGCCAGAGTCATCGAAGCCGTGGATAAGCTCGTGGCCAATGAGCACCGCCAGGGAGCCGAACATAACGGCGCTGGGATAGGCATTGGCCCACAGATAGAATGGCTGCAGCAGTGCCACCGGCACCTTGATGGCATTCTCCACGAGGATGTTGGCCGGCGTGTAGCTGAGCAGCTCGCCCGCCTCCAGCGGCTTGGCCGGCAGATGCAGCTCCGCGCGCATTTGCTTCACTCCCAGGATGGTGGCCTGACGCAGATTCTCCACATAGTCGGCGCTCTGCAGATTCAGGCCCTCAAACTCTTTGGTGAAGTTGTAGTCCGCATAGGAGTTAACCTGCAGCGTCATCGCCTCGAGCTTGACTATGGCCTTCTCGCGGATGGGTCGATCGATCCAGTCCAGCAGCTGGCTGGAGCGCAGCGTCTCGTTGAAGGTGGACTTCAGTTGGTTCCACATGCTCTCTATTTCCCGGGCAGTCTTCTCGTTCTTGTAGCTGCGATAGATCATATTGTCCAGGTTCTTGGCAAAGCTCTTCTTGGTGAGGCCGATGCACATCTCCTTCTTGCTCTCCGCCGTCTTGGGCGCCGTCACGGCAAAGTCCTTGATCATGCTGTAGAACAAATAGTTGGCCACAACCCGCTTGGGCGTGCTCTGCATGACCAACACGAGGTTCCGCTGATAGTCCTCGTTGTACTCGTACACCTGGTCCGTGATCCGCTCGCCCATGCTGATCTGCACAAAGCGCTCAATGTCCAGGGTCGGCGCATAGCGGCTGTGCATCTCGGCCACAGTCATCAGTTTGGCCATGGAGGCAATGTCCACGCCATCGCTCTCATCGGCGAGGCCACGGGCCAGACTCACCTCAAAGTCCAGCAGCTCCTGGGCCGTGGTCTTGGCCAGTTCCTTTTCTACGCCCAGAAAGCGCTCCATTGTGCTCTGCATGCGGTCCCGCAGGGCACGGCGATAGGTTTGGGTCCTGTTGTCCACATACATGGCACGCGACTCGAGCGGGAAATCCTGCTGGCCGACATACACCCTGTTCAGGTGATTGTTGGCAAAGTCCTTCGTGACTTCGATGCTGAGAATGGAGCCCACGCCATAGCGGTAGTCCATGCGGGCGGTCGTCTCCAGCCAATCGAATTTATCCTCCTGCCACGACGAACCCTCCAGCACTGGCATGGAGCCGAATTCGGCAATCAAACTCTTCAGCTTCTGCGCATAGGTGGGCTTCAGCTCTCCCAATCTCGTGCAGGACTCGTAGAAGTGCTTCACCTGCACATCCTCGCGCGTGTCGTTCGCATTCGGTGGACTGGTGAGGATCAACGCCAGCTTGCGGTTGAGCGCTTTGGTCAGCGTCTCGAACAGTCCCGTGGTGAACTCGCTCAGGCTGATGGCCGAGTTGATGCGCGACCAATTGCCGCAGGCAAAGTCATAGAAGTCTGTGCACGGATCGGCTCTCTGGTTCATGAAGCTCTGCATTTCGGCTGCCTTGGCATTGCGCAGCAGCTGCCTCATGTACGGCGTGTCCTCGTTCAGCTGCAGCCTCTCCTCGTCCGCAGGCGCCGCCTGGCTGCAGCCCAGCAGCACGGACAAAGTGCACAGGAATTGGCAGATAATTCGAAGCGCGTGCATCTTGGGGCTCGTTGCTTCTTGGTTCGATTTGAATGCTCGACTGAGCACAGAGCCCCAGATGATACAGAACATCGTCAACATCCAGAGGGCAGCGGCCGGCGGTCTCTGTTCTCGGTAAAAAGCGCAACCCCAGGGGTTATCTCGCATCTCCCACATCTCGCTGCCCCAGTTAGAGATGACGGCGTGAATGTTTTTCTTTTTGTGCAATTGGATGAATGACATCAAGTGCCGCCTGTTCACCAGAATTCGCAATTGTGAGGGACATAAACTTGGAAAGTATTTCGTTCCGTTTCACCCGAAAGCATCTTTCGTTTCTAAAGTTGTAAAGAATTGAGACCTGAGGTGTGTACACACTTTCCAAGATATTTATAAAGATTTTATTTTGTTACTTGAACATTTTCTTTGAATTATAGAAAGTTAATCAGTTAACCCCGCAATCCAAAGCAAATCCAAATAAGTTTCATGAGTACCCCAATTATTTGACCCACTGGCACCCACTGGCACATGGCTGTGTTTGACGCGCACAACTTTCGAATTTCAATTTGATCGCAACGCAATAAAATTGTTTATGAGCAATTACTTTGTCAATATTGATTGCTCGCTAAATGATCAAGTGCCTCGGGCTTTTCTCCAAGTGTTTCCCAAGCAACGTGAGCTGCGATCTAATCACGCGCTCCACACTAAACAGCAGAGACGAGAGACGAGACCAACGACCAGCTCCATGACTGATAAGCAGGGAGAGAGTGTGGAGCCCTCTCCGGAGCTCTGACTCAATCTCAGTCTGAATCTCAGTAAAGTAAAGAGTAAATCTGTACGGAAGTGCGTCGGGCTCAGTTGTTGCCACTTTCAGTTGCCCGTCGAGTGTTCGCCATGGAGAACGCTTCTCCGGCTGTTGCTTCCAGCCAGCTCGTGCTGCTGATTTTGATTGCTGGCATTGCTGGGTGTGCCCAGGGTCATTTGCTGTCCCAGCCAGCGCTGGAATTACGCATTCAGGCCCAGGAACAGCTCATCTCGCAGCACAATGACAGCGCCTATGTGCAGCGTCTGATGCGACTGTCCAAGTCCGCCGAGATGCGAAACTACATGCAGCCCGAGCTGCAGCCCTGCGACAATTTCTACGACTACAGCTGCGGCAACTGGGCCAAAATCAATCCAGCAAACACGGCAAGTCCACGCGAGACCAACTACGAGCAGCTGCTGCTCAAAGGTTACCATCACAAGCAGCAGCGACTGCTGCAGCGATCGGCTGACGCGGCCATCGATGCGGAGGCGGTGCTCAAGTTGAAGGAGTTCTATGCCAGCTGCCTGCACTACCGCGAGACACCGCTGCCCGTGTACCGCCAACAGTTGCTGGAGATTGTGGCCGAGTTTGGACACATGCCCGCCCTGGCACTGCCGGGACAGCAGTGGCCCGCCGACGAGTTCGATTGGGTGGCCACCGTGGCACGCATCAAGCGGAAGTACGGACTGGACATCTTGCTACGCCTTCAGGTGTCTCCTGCGGGCATCTATGTGGGACAACCGCAGCAGATTCGGCCGCAGCCCAATCGCCTGGGACGAGCTGCCAGCATACGGGAGTGGCTGGTTTGGAATTTGGGCGTGGAGAGGGAATTGGCAGAGACCACATCGCTGGAGATCACAAATATGGAGGATTTGGTGGCTCGCCAAATGCGGGATATTCCAGTGGGTGTGCTCGCACGTCCACGCACAACCAAGGAGCTGGATGAGCTCTACTTGCCCGTGTACAACCTCACCAAGTACATTGAACTGGTCCTCGATCGGCCATTGAACCCGAACGACACTCTGTACGAGCACGTGCCCAGCTATCAGGCACACTTGCTGGACTTTGTGGCCGGCGTTAGCCCCCAGATGCATGCCAATTACATCTTCTACTCGCTGCTGGAGCACTTCAGCTACCAGTGGGCTGGCTCCGTGGTGGATCACTGCATGTCCAAGGCGCGCAGTCTGTTCCCCGAGCTGCTGGACAACATGGTCTTAAGGGAGTACGGAGATGCAGCCACCCTCAGCGACATTGAAGCCGTGTGGCTGCAGATCAAGCGCAGCTTCCGTGATATGCTGGAGAACGACACCGCCGATTGGTTGTCTCTGGCGGTACGCAGCCAGCTGCTGGACCAAATCAATGCCACTCGCCTGCTGGTCAACGGACATGAGGATGTTAATTTCACGCAGATCTACGAACAATTGCAGCTAAAGCCTCGTGACTATCTGCACAATCTACGGGCCGTGCTCAGTCATGACAGTCTGAAGACCAAAATGTCTGCCGCTCCATTGACAGCGCCCAGCTATGATGCCGTGGAGAAGCGTGTCCTGTTGCCGGTGGCCCTGCTACAGCCGAACTATCTGTGGTCCCGATACTACCCACGTGCCCTGCGCTACGGCAGCCTGGGCACTCTGCTCGCCCACGAGCTGGCACACAGCATCGAGGATGTCTCCCACTGGGACCACTCCTCGATGATTGCCTACCACAAGCGTTGGGCCTGCTTCAAGGAACAGTACGGACGCCTGCGACTCAATGGAGAGTACTTGCCGAAGAGCGATCTGCAGGCGGAGAACATTGCCGACAATCTGGCTGTGCAGGTGTCCTACCACGCGTACTCCAAGTACTTGCAGGAGCTGGCCCCATCCGCCCTCTCCTCGGAGCAACTGCCACAGATGACGCAGAGTCCGCGGCAATTGTTCTTCATTAGCTATGCCCAGTTCTGGTGCAATGATTCCCAAGAGAGATTCCGCGACAGGATAGCCCTACTCGTCTCGTATACACCCAGTGCCCTGAGGGTGCTTGGAGCACTCTCCAACCTGGACTCCTTCCAGCGGGACTTTGCCTGCATCAGTGGCAGTCCGATGAACTCCTCCCCGAAGTGTCAGCTGTATGGCTTATCCTTGGATTAGCAACATAGTATCGGTTCAAATATATTCTTATAAACAGTTTAAGGTAATTATTTTTGTTAGTAGATGGAGCACTTGTACTCCGGATCCATGGGTGCCGACTGGGAGCAGTTCCAGACCCAGGAGAACTCCTGGAAATTGGACAGCGAACCAATCACGCGATACATGCCCGGTGCATGGCTGTCTGCCTGGGCCACGGTCTTCTTGAACAGCGTCTGCACATCGTCGCACCACAGCTGGGCAAAGCCCACGAAGAACAGCTGGCGATTGGTCAAATCCAGCCCCTCGAGGGTCTCCTGCTGGCGCTTCTCCTCCGACTGCTGTCCCAGCCAGCGCTCGTAGGCGGCGTAGGCGAGCTTCACTCCGGCATTGTCCGCTATGTTCTCCGACTGCTGGGAGCTCTCCGGCAGCTTGGAGCCGCCGTATCTGTAGGTGTGATACTGCGCCTGGAAGCACTTGCGACGCTCCTCGAACTCGTAGCGCGACTTGAGGTCCCACCAGGGAGCCAGATTGCCGCCGGCATCGTAGTTGCGACCCTCGACATCGAAGCCGTGTATCATCTCGTGGGCCAGCAGGTAGCCCAGCGTGGCATACTTGAGGGCCTGCGGATACTGGTCGCCCCAAAAGTAGCGCGGCTGCAGCAGCGCCACCGGAATGGTGATGTTGTTCTCCAGAATGTTGTAGGCGGGCGTGAAGCTCAGCAGATCGGTGTCCTCCAGCGTGCTGGGTGGCTGCCTGATCCTGTCCGTGCTGCGCTTCGCCTGTTCCAGGTTCATCTGCTGCACATTGGCCACGTAGTTCAGGCGATCGATCTCCACAGCGCCGTAGATCGCCTCAAAGTTCTCGCTGTCGTAGGAGTTGATGTGCAGCTGCATGCTCTCCAGCTTCTCGATGGCCTTCTGCCGCGTGGCATTCGCTATCCAGTCGTGCTTGTCCCCCGCCAATTGCTGCCGGAACACACTCCGTATCTGGTCCCAGACGCTGTGCACCTCCGCCTCTGCCTCGGGGCTGCGGTAGCGGGCGTAGACCACATGGTCCGTGAGCTTGCCAAAGTACTTTTTGGTCTTCTCGACGCACCACTTGGGCAGCGTGCTGGGCGTGGCATCCACCAGGTAGTCCTGCACCAGCTGCCACAGCACGTAGGTGGCCAGCAGGGAGGGGGGCGTGGCCTTGACGATGCTCAGGGCATTGTCCAGATAGGGTTCATCGTAGAGGTACAGCACTTGCGGCACATTCTCCGCTCCCAGGACGAGGGCAAAGAACTCGGTGAAGTTCATGTGATCGCCGTACTTCTCCTCCAGCTCGGGCAGCGTGTACAGCGAGAGATTATCCTCGATGGACTCGGAGCTGGAACTGGAACCGCCCGACATCAGACGCGTCTCCAGGGCCCGCAGCTGCTCGGCAATCTGCTTGGCATGGTGGGCACTGAGGCCAAAGTACTGCTGCAGATCCTTGGAGGAGCTGGCCTCCTCCAGCAGGTTGAGGATGCCGGAGTTGGAGAGCTTCTCGTACTCGGGCGGACCGAGATAAACGCGACTCAATGACTTGTTCTGGATGTCTCGCATTATGTCCACCGAGAGGATGATCTGGCGGCCGTACTTGTGCTGGATCTGGGCCACAGTCTGCCACCAGATGAAGTCCGAGGCGTTCCAGCGGTCACCAGCCAGGGCTGGCACCTCGCCGTATTCCTTGTAGACATTCTCCAGGGCCAGCTTGTAGTGGACATCGTCGCGATGCACCAGGCCGCAGGAGAGGTAGAATCGTTGCAGCTTCTGCTCCAGCTCCGTTTTCAGCTCATTCGAGCGGAGCAGACTCAGCAGCCGGCGATCGAATCCCTTGGAGATCAGCTTAAAGGTGTCCGTGGTTATGTCATTCAGCAGCTGGGCGGGATTCTGTCGGTGCCAATTGCCGCATGCATGGCTGTAGAAGTCGTCGCAGGGCGCTATCTCTGGCTTCAGCATGGCCTTGATGTCGGCCACTTTCGAGTGGCGGATTATGCTCTTTGCGTAGTCCGAGGTCAGGTCATCCGCAGTGGCAGACACTGCCAGTAGCAGGCTGCACCAGCACCAGCACCAGAGTGGCCACAAAACTCGTCTCGACATGATCTCACGCTTGGTTCAACTGATTTTTAAATGGCATTTCAATCGCTGATTCGTTGAGGGCCACAGCCCAGCTGCGCTTATCAGGCGCTCGAGATTTGTTTATACAAAATGTTCACTCTGAGGCTCTGGGGTAGGTCAATCTCTTATCGCCACAGATAGTGGCTCTTATACGAGTCTTATAATTGCGTAGAATCCACTGACCTAGGAAGTATTTTAGCAGCAACCACCATGTAACATTTATTCATATTTTGTTCTCGTTTTTTGCAGCCATACCCATCATCTATATACTGGCCATTGTGCCCGGCTTGATGCCCTGGGACAGTGGCTACAAGTTTCTATCGTTCTGCCATGTCTTTGGCTCGGTGGCACCGTGGTGCGGCAGCTTCGTCTACCATCTGTTCATGAACATCGAGAAGGGCGAGAATGTCTACTATACACTGCTCAAGCTGGACATGGTCGGGATCTGGGTGAGCCAGAGCTTTGGTGAGTAAGAAACTACTAGCAATCATCTCTCTCTCGCTTTGATTTAGAGGCCGCTCGGAAGCGGAACTATTTGTTTAATGATTAATTCATAGAAACTATTAGGAACTACCCAAGTCAATCAGTAATCAGTACACCTTGCATCTGAGTGGGGGATTCATTTTGGTGCTGTTGCCACACTGAAAGGCCTCGGCAAAGGCTCGACTGTTGGCCATCATGGCGCGCACTCGCACCTCGGACGGCGTATGGACACTGGTCATGACATGGGCATGCCGCCTCGCCGGCAACACATCCGCGCACATGGTCTGGGCCAGACTGAGGAAGAACAGCTGCTGCGGCGTCTGCAACATTAGGGGCAGCGCTTCCCCTTCGGCAGCCACAGTCTTTGAGTGCTCCAACAGCCACTTGTGGTAGGCGGAGAGGGTAATGCGGATGCCCACATTGTCGGCAATGTTCTCGCCCTGCGTCTCTCTTCTCGGCAGCTTTTGGTTGCCAAAGCGCAGCTCTCCAAACTGATCCACCAGGCACTGCTTGAGCCGCTTGAAGTTCGTCTTGGCCTCGCTGGACCACGAGTCGCGGAGGTTTCCCCTTCCATCGAACAACAGATTCGAGTCGTCGAAGGCGTGGGCTATCTCGTGGGCGAGGTCGAAGCCCAGGGTGCCGTACTTGAGGGCCGCCGGATAGACATCGTCCCAGAAGTAGCGATGCTGCATGTGGCTGGCCGGAAAGAGCACCAAATTGGCCTCCCTGACGTAGCAAGGCGAGTCGATTGTGTCGTCGTAGAAGATGGCCTTGGACTGCGGCCGCTGCAGATCCTCACGCAGATTGAGGGCGCGCACCTCCAGCAGTCGCTGAATGTTGCCATAGTAGTCGGCCGAGCTGATGACCAGCGTGCCGTAGTGCTCCTCAAAGTCCACAGACTCCTCGCCAGATATCTGGAAGGACATCAGCTTGAGCTTCTCCACTATCCCATTGCGCGTCTGCTCGTCCAGCCACTCCAGTTCGGATCCATTCAGAATCTCCTCGAAGGTGGCCTTCAGCTCCTGAAACAACTGCCTTAGGATGGCGGGCATGTGGGGACTCTGCTGCTCCAGGGAGTGATAGACCATGTGATCCACGACAGCTGGAAAGAGGTCCGAGGTCCGTTCCGCACAGTATTCCTCCTGCTGCAGCTGTTGCTGCTGTGGCTGGTACTTTTCGGGCTCCAAGTCCACCACAAAATCCTCCAGCAGACTCGAGAGCATATAGTTGGCCAGCACCCGTTTGGGTGTGCCCAAGAGGATCCTGGTCAGCTGCCAGAGGTAGCCAGGAACGTACTCGTAAACGGGCAGCTGGTAGTCATGACCCAGCCAGTGACTCACAAATTTGGTAAAGTTGAGGGCCGGGCCGTAGGTCTCCGTCAGGCTGCTGATCACGGTCAGGTGTTGCCTCAACCTCGGATCATCCACCGTCTTCTGGTCGATGCCACTGCGTCCCAGCTCCAAGTCCAGGGCGCTGATCTCATTGGCCGCCTGCAGGGCACGCTCTGGCGAGACGCCCAGCAACCGCTGCAGCCTCAACTGCAGTCGAATCTTTCTGACAAGTTTCACTGATACTTCGTCTTTGATGAGCATCAGGTCATCCCTTTGGCCCAAGAACAAGCGATTGATCTGGCTGTTGGCCATGTCAGGACCCACACTGACACGCAGGAATGTGATCTTGCCGTAGCGTCGCAGCAGCGTAGCCATCATCTCAATGGCATCGAACTTGGACTCGTCCCAGGCGTTGCCCTCCACTACGGGCATGCCTCCAAATTCCCTGAGCACATGGAGCAGATGGCTGCGCTGATTCATCCTCAGTGCCGTGGTATTCAGGCAGGACTCATAGAAGTACTTCACCCGCGTCTCCATGGGTCTGTCCGTGCTCATCTTTGGCTCGTTCAGCAGCTGTCGCACCCGCCGCAAATACCCGCCACGGAGTGCCTGCCCTAAGCTTTTGTCCGTCTCCGGGGAAGCTGCATTTATCGAGGAATACTTCCCACAGGCATGGCCATAGAAGTCATCGCAGGGACTCACAAGCGGATCTATGAAGGAGCGCATATCCGCGGACTTGGCATGCCGCATGATCTCATGGCCCAGTGGCGTTGTTAGCTCCTTATAAACGCCAGCCTGGACGCCATCCAGCCACGCTATGGCTATAAAGATTAGGCAGACGAGAGCTTCAGGAGTGGCTCCCATTTTCGGTTGTGTTTGGCACGAGATATGTTTAGCGACTGATTTGAATATTTTTGGCTGGGAATTGACTTGAGGACGGCGGCTTATCGGTGGGAATGGCCTCTCCCTCTCCCTCTCCCTCTCCGTCTCTCACTGTCTCAACGCACAATCTCTCTTCCGCTGTCTGTTTGCAGGTGCCTTGCCCCTGGTGACGGCCACAACGCTGTGCTTCACGCCTGTCCTCAAGTGGCTAATCATCAGCTCCTATTGCCTGCTCTCGCTGTTTGGCCTGTACAAGGTAAGCAAAAATGTTTATTACTTACTTTCTATGGTTAATAATTATGCATTATTCTGTCAGGCCCTAACCGCCAGTTCGCCCTGGCAGCGTCGCCTGTGTTTTGCTCTGCCCTTTGGCATGCGCTCCATACTGACATTTCTGCGGATACGGGGAATGGTCGGCGGCAGTCATATGGCCCTTTCGCATGTCTATCTGCAGGTGCGTATGTCGAGGCTTTCCAATTCACTAACTTGCTATTTTCTATAACTAAACGTTTTTGGCTGGCCTCTCTCTCTGTGCGCCATAGGTTGAAGTTGTAAGTTTCACCTTTTCATACATATATGTACGTACATTCGAGTAAATGGACAAGAGCCGCAATCCAATTTGATCGGCTGACACACAGAGCGCTCCATCTCTTCCATCTCTTGTTGAATTGTTCTCTCTTCTCTTTCTTGGCACTCGCCGTATGTGTGTGTTTGCGTTGCTTCCAGGATGGCGTCTCCATACTGGGCGGTGCGATTGGTGCCATGCGTATACCGGAGAAGTGGTTCCCCGGCGTGGTTGACTTTTATCTGAATTCCCACAACATCATGCACGTGCTGGTCGTGGTCGCAGTCTACTCGATGCATAAGGTAAACATGGGCATACACATTCAAGGGCTGATTGTAATCTCTTACTTTATAGGCCACCATCAAGGACTTCGAGTGGATGTCCACACAGACATGCAATAGCTTTGAAAATGTCACCGAGCAGGCGCTCGGCCATGTGGAGCTATGACCCGTTTACTGGCTGCTGCTGCTACTGCTGCTGCTGCCGTTGCCATGGATGTTGTCCAGGCCACGGGCCAAGCGTTCCCATGCGATACGCGCCCTGATGGCCCTGACCAGGAGACGGAGACGAGCACCGAACGGTGCCGGGTGAAACTGCGCGCCTGCGCACGCTGACTAGATAGACATAAAGACATAGAGACAAATGCGCTACTTGAGTATATACCGTGTATAATGTTTGCAGTAACAATATACATATGTATGTATATTTAGCTATAGGCCATACATCTATGTACATATACTTATACATATATATACAACATATATGAACTGTATAGTACGTATAGTACATACTTCGACTGTGGTATTAAGCATTAAGGTTATATAAATTACTGAAATGAGCAAGAAGCTAATCGAAAAGAACTTTAAAGTGCGAACAGAGTTGAGATTAACAGATCGAATCGCTGATGGTTGGATAGTAATGAATATGTAATGTAATGTAATGTATGTAATATGAGTAATAATGATTTGAATGATGTTGATACATGTGTACCTCATTGTGCTTAACGACAAAAACAAACATCTAATTTTCAAATATTGTATGTATGTATAACTTTGTACCTCGTCGAGAATTCTTACAATAAGGACATCACACCTTTAAGCTAACCCCTTCTTCCTAGTTGATCTTTTTAGATATGCAAATTGTTAATTTTTGGGCAACCACAACGTGGTATGTAGTGGTGGTCTCTATAAGGACTCTCCTCTCTATTAATTAATGCTCCAATCTGTGCATAGTTGTGAAATGGAACCAAACAAAAAAAAAAGAAAAAAGACAAAAACCAAAAACCAAAAACTGGAACCACGACAAAGTTGTTGCATGTTGTGTGATGCCAGTAGTTACGAATAGTTAGATGAGAGTCAGGAGGAGTATTCCATGTTGGACAAGCGTGAAACAATGATCAACAAAAATTTAAAAACAAACAATCTTCTGGGCTAAAACGCTGCTGCAACGAATCACGTACATCACAATACGTAGTGAATGCTATACCCCCGTATGGTAAGAGTACTTAAAAACTTAATACGATATTGAGTTGATATCATTTATGTCAATTGATTGCGCAATATTAACCTCAAGTATTTACTGAGCTCCCCCGAATATACTTATTATTAAATATTGAATATGTATTAGTAAAATTGCAATATTTATTACCCTAGAACCTTAGGCATGTCATGAATTAGGGCAGGTATTCTTGCAACCAACCAACAAACCAACCAAAGAACAAACAAACCAACTAACAAAAACAATGAAACATAAATCCATATGATAGATACGATAGAAAACCATTCTAAAATGTCGATCGGTCTACTTTTAATCCATGAGAGCAATGCGAACAATTATGAGTAAAATGTTTTAGTAGTGTCAATAATTTACACCACCCTCCAATGAGAGAGAAAGAGAACCGAGCTAATCTAACAAATGAAACGTAAGCTAACAAACTAATTCAAACAAAGCAATAATTAATAATTAATAGGCAAACTCAATGCTTTTAAGTTACAAAAGTTGCTGCTAGTTGTAAGTAACAATTATAACAAAACATATTGTCAAATGATTTTTCTGTGAAGAAAAGGTTAATAAATGAACAAAAACAAATGAACAGTAACAACAGGCAAAACTGAGTTTGCATTTGAATTGGAAAATGCAGACTGATTTCATTTTATCATTTATAGTTTATTAAATTCTTTAGTAAATTCTTACATTCGCGCCATGCATATAAACCTCTGCTCTACTCTCTTCTCCCCCCTGTAACATGCAATTTTTTATTTGATTTTCTGACTAGTTTTATTTTATAAATATGATTTGTTTAGATACGAACTTTAACGCTTTTGATTGATGCGCGTTCTAGAAGGAGTTGCGGATATACACTCATAATACATATATGAAGACTCTATATTTATATTTAAAAAATTTACAAAATTGGAAAACTTATCCGAAGCTAGTAGCACTTTAGAATTCCTCATTTCTGACTCTTTTCCGCATAGCATATCCGTATCATAGTGTGTAATGTGGGTAGGTAGCACATGTCTATATATGTTTGTAATTATTTTATTGGTTAAAGTAAAAACTGCATTGCACATTTTGTCGGTGTTTTCTTGCTTTAGGTTTTGCTATTTGTATATGTAAATATATATTTCCTTTGCATTGCTGATTTTTGATTAGCGTTCAGTGTTTTGGTTTTGGTTTTAGTATTTGATTGTTTCAATATTGTATAAAACTTTGTTCATCTTTATTCTCTTATTTCTTATCATATATTTATGCATATTCTGCGTTGTAGTAGTAACTTTAGAGACAATTCCCCGTTTTACATATTGCCGATTCAAATTGTACAAATAATACTTAAACTAAACATTAAAACACATTGAACACATTGAAGCAACCCATTGTTCCATTACAACTTTCGTTTCAATTGCGCTTTGGACTTGCAGCAAACATTTGGCACCAAAAAGAATTAAAATAACTAAAAAGTATTTATGCTAAACACATTAAAATACGAGTACAATAAATAAACAATTTACGTAATAACTAAACGAAATTCAATCTCACTCTCTGTGGGTACCCATGGACTTTCGACCATGATGGTCTGTCCCTGTCTCTGTCTCTTTCTCTCTTAGCGCTGTGCGTAGGAGAAGTCCGTCTGGGCCTGTGCATCCTGACTGCTCTGGGACTGGGTCTGATGATGCTGATGCAGGTGATGATGATGCAGGCAGCCAGATGCCTGCTCCACCTGAAAGCCAAGTGTTTGACGCTCTAGCGTTGAGAACCTCGAAGATATCATCATTTCCTGCTGACTCTGCACCACCGAGAAGCTCAGGCCGCACGAGCAATGCTCTATGTGGGGCTGAGGCTCCGCCTGTCCTGGGGTGGCATGCACCAGCGCCTGCTCCGTGATGATTGTAGGTGGCGGCGATGGCGATGACAGACAGTCGTGACAGTAGTGTGCAGCTGCTGCTGATGCTGCTGCTGAATCAGTTGGAGCTGCGACTGCTGCTGCTGTGTGCTGATGGGACTGGCTGAAGGAGGGCGGTGGCGGTGGAGGCGGTGGCGGTGTCAACGAATGGCTCGAGCTTGAGTCCGAGGTCTCGGTGGTCGTGTCTGTGGTGGTGCTGGTTGAGGTCGATGTGGACGATGATGGCTTGTGTGGCTGATGGGGCTGATCGGGTGGATGATGGCAGCGACATATTGTAACTCAAAAAGTGCCGCCATCGTGCTGATGACTAGATGCCAATGAAGATGTCAATGCGGATGGCGGTGGGGCTGTGATTGTGCTTGTGCCTGCAGCTGTGGCTGTTGCTGTTGCAGTGGCAGCACCTTCGACAGGGGCTGGAGCTGGTGCTGCTGCCAATGCCACCCCATTGACAGGCAGATGCTGCAGGGAGCTGTAGCCATCGCCCTCGTCATCGCCATTCTGCTGCAGCTGCTGCCCCAACGATTGATGATGATAATTATGATTGTTGATGGAATGATTTTGATTTTGATTCTGATTCTGACTGTGATTGAGTTGTGTGTAAGCTTGTGTGTTGGGATTGGGTGAGTGTGCCAGTGCCAGTGCCTCCTCGCTGGCCAGAACTCCATTGCTCGATACTCCCAACGATTTGGGCGGTATGGGCGGCGGTGGCACCGGCATATCCTCCACATCGAACGAGCTCGTCGAGCTCTCTCGTTGCGTGATGTTCATGGATGCGGCTGTGGCATGCATATCCAGGCTGCCGTTGGAGCTTATGCGGCAGTGCTCACGATGATGCACAGTGCTGGCTGCCGAAATCGAAGAGGAATCCTCGCTGAGATTATTGAGATTCATGTGATTCAGCTCGCGTGAGCTTGTCGTGGATATGCCCGAGTCGCGGAAGTCATTCGGGACAAAGCAGACATTTAGATGTCCGCCGCCGCCACCATCCTGGAAGTTCGGAGGCAGCGAGTGCGGCTGCTGATCAGCCTCGGGATCATCGAAGCTGATGTCGACCACGGCATACTTCTGTCCATGCTGCTGCTGCTGGGATGAGTGCCGGCGGCCGACGCCTTCGTTACCTCCGAAATCGTTGAAAATCATGGGATTCGATGCTCGCTTGTCCGGCGTTATGCCACGCGGCGGCAGCGGTGGAGCGTTGGGAGAGTTGACTGCCGGCTGCCGCTTGGGCGGCACCTCTGGACTGTCCATCATGGCTCCTAAATCTCCGTTGGCGATAAAGTTCTGGGAACGTGGCCGATTGGGCACTGGCGGAGCCGCAGCGCTCTCGTCCAGCGTTATAGTGAGACTCTCCTTGCTCAGTGTCTGATACGAATTGAGGGGATCGACGGGCCGCACTATGTCTCCCGGTCGCGTGTAGTTCTCGTCCAGTTCGTAAACATAGTTGGAATTGGCACTGGCATTCTGGCTGTTCAATGAGGAGGAGGATGTTGCTGCCTGAGTGGTGCGCTGCTCCGTGGGCAGTGGCGGCAGTGGTGTGTTCACAATGCTGTCCGAATGCTGCCGCTTGAGGCGACCCATGCCCGACAGACTCTGCTTCAGCTGTGAGAATCGCTCGAGCAGGCGATTGTGTAGCGGCTGAACACCGCTGGGAGCCAACTGTCCGTGCAGCTCCAGTGCCTGCTCCAGTATTTGGATTTGTTCGAGTATCAGAGCCTTCAGCCGCTGCACATTCGCCTGCTGGCCGGCGCCCTGTGGCGATTTGAGGAACTGATCCGAGAAGAAGGCCTCCTGATACTTGCTAATGCCGCCCATCACATTGGCATCGATGGTGCCCTGCAGGCGCATCGAGAACGGATTGATGTTGCGTTTGGGATCGCGTCTGTACTGGACAATCAGCTCGGACAGCTCTTTGCCTGCATTGCTGATGATCTCACAGGCATATTCCACGGGCGTCAGCTCCTGCACCGACTTCTGCTTGACCTCAAACCAACGCAGAATGCCCGGCAGTGGACTGGCAATGTCCAGGATCGTGCGCTCTATCCACAGCGACTTGAACTCGTTGTCCTTGTCGATGGGTCCCTTGTACGTGGGTCGATCGTAGATGAATCTCGTCACATCGTTCACCTCATAGAAGCGGGCTATTTTCTCCGGCACCGGCACCATGGCCGTCTTCAACGCCTGAGCATCGCCCATGGGGCGCACATTACTGATTTGTATATACTGTTCGGGTGCATTGAGTATGGCGCCATCGGGTGGACTATTGTTACCCAAAATCTGGGCACTGGGGAATTCCGTTTGAAGACGCTGCGTAAACGCACCGATACGCTCGTACTCGAGCCCACGATACACAAATTGTTTGTTCTGTAATCAGCAAAAGAGAATAAAAAATAAATCCAAAAGAGACCTTGAATCGTTGGACTTACCCTCACAAACAGCGGCAAACCCATGCCATAGAAACCCACTCGAAAGTATTCCGGTTCTGGTCTGAGCTGCGTTAAGATATTTTGAAAGAATTTTGCTTCCTGTATGAGTATTTCGCTCAGTTTATTGTAGTCAAAGCGACGCGTTTCGTAAAGTTGAGCCAGCTCCTTGCACAGCGGAATGCCCTTCTCCCAGCATTTGCCCTTGTCGAAATATTTGAGGATCTGCAATGTATGAGAATTTGTTTTAAAAAATATACTTTAAAACAATAAATACTCCACAAACATTAATCAATATATAAATATATTATAGAAGTACCTCATGGTATAGTCGCTCTTTTCGCTGCCACTCTGGTTGCCCGCTATTGTCGAAGGGTGCAAAGCTCAGGGTCTCCCGATCCCATGATAACATGGAAGCGTACAACTTCAGGGTGAAGCCAGCCTC